ACTGATGAGCAACAGAGGAAGTTTGGTTCTCACTTTTCCGGTGAAGCTCTGCTCTCGCTCGGTCATCATCTCGGGGGCCATGAAGGCCGGCGTCCCCGCTGTGCTGGACAGGAGGGCGTCCGTCCCCTCGAACTCGTTGCTCACGCCGAAGTCTGCGATCTTGACGTGACCGTCGTCGCCCAGCAGCAGGTTGGACGGTTTGATGTCTCTGTGGATGATCTTGTGGTAGTGCACTGGAGGAAAAAAAGGTTAAACTGGTGATTTACTGTTGATCAGATAATAAAATAGTTGTGTGATGTGTAATTATCTGTGGTGCACTGTCATAAAGTTGCCACATGTACTATATTTTTGTCAAAAAGTACAGAATTATGGTAGCAACACAATTGTTTTTCATTGTCTATGCTCATTTTCACAGAAGCTAAACAAAGAAATGCAACTAATTCACATTTAGGGCCTGTTTTGGACCTATTTCCATCTGATTTTACAAACTTCTGTTCATCGCCTGTAAACAACACATTATAATAGCTGATGGCTTAACCTGAATATGGCATTTAAACCATTTGATGTGTAAGCATGAAATACTTGATATGAATTTCTTAGTGTTCTCAGTGTTTGTTGTTTGTTTTAACAGTATAAAGCAACTCCAACATGAACTAGAAAATCTTTAAATGTTACACTATTGTGCACAAGTGTACTACATTTCAGGTTAACATGCAAAAAAAAAAAGATTTTTAAAAGTTTATGATGCTCTCAATTGTAATAAAAACAATGTGAGTTTTAAGATATTTGTATTAATTACACTTTACAACTTCTAATTTCACATATTTAAAGCAGGTATATTGACTCTAAATGTTCAAATTCAGGTTATGTATCGTGTAAACTTACGGTACTCTATTCCCAGGACGACGTCTCTGAAGTAAAAGAGAGCCTGCTCCTCTGATAGAGGGCTTTCTGTCGGCACCTCCATCACCGGCCTGACCAGCACGAGAGGTGCACAAAGACAGAAGAGCATGTAAACACTGATCATATATGTCATGGTGGCTTCTTGAAACAGTACATTTATCTCCACTTAGAGGTCGAGAGAATACATTAATGCACAGAAACGTACCCTTTTGTCATCAGTTCGAAGGCTTGAGGACAGATAATCACATTTTAATAACATCTTGCGTTTGTACTGAAATCACATTGTCAATGCAAACTGGATAAATGGTTTCCTACCCATGTGAAGTCCATCTTCATCTGGATCGTCCAGCACCTGCAAGACATGTTTATTCAGCGATTTCATATTCTTATAGTTGTGTATTTGTGCAACGATCGTATTCATACTTTTTAGGGGTTTAACAGGTGATGTCACATTAGTAGATGCAGTCTGGTTATCAATATACTGAGCTTCACCACAGTCAACCTGAGGCCTAATCATCCACAGTAACAGACAACACCTAGGGGAGGGTATCTTTGGTTGTGTTTTCTGCCTGTCTTCTAACTGCCCTGTGATCAGTTTTCTGCAGTAAGTTTGCAGGACAGAGCCTTCCAACCGACCTCCACCAGTTTAACAACGTTGTGGTGATCCAGCTTCTTCAGGATGGCGATCTCCTTGTACACTTTCTCCAGAGGCAACACGGCTTTTGGGAACGGATCCTGCTGCGAGTTCGGTCCCGGAGAAGGCAGGCGGCCTGGAAGCACACGACACACAAATCACCGCCAACATCACAGGAATCACACACAGAGGAAGGGCTTCGATTAAATCGTATTTCACTCACGCAAAAATCCACACTGCCTCATCAGCCTCTTCTTTGAAACTACTTTCATTGCCTGAATAAAGAAGATGAAGCAAATGATGGTAGTGACGGCAAACTGACATTTTAACGACACTTTAATGTAGTTTAAAGGCTTCGACTTACATAGAACTGTTCAGAGTCTTCATTATAGGCTAATTTCACCACTCCGTATGAACCCTGGGAGGAAATAACACAAGTCAGCAGCTTCATCACATGTACCTAATACGCTGTGAACATATTAAAAGTATTCATGCTGTTTTTACTGCTTTAACATTGAGTGACAGTCAATTTAATTAGGCTTTTTTCATTTTTATTATAACAAGAATTTACAAAATAATTCTCGTTCATGTCAAAATGAAAACAGATTTTAACAAAGTAATAAGATTTTTTATTTATTTTTTTTTTTTTTAAATTGTCATTAGTATTTATCTCCTTTAACCTCTTAAGACCTGGTTATATTACCAAAGAAGTTATATTTTTGTTTACATTTGTATTATTTTAATTATTAATATTTTATTATTGTCATTTAATATTTTTAGATATATTATTTTTAAATATATTTTTATTTTCTTTATATATATTTTTAATTTTTTCTCCCCTCTCTTTGCTATTTGATCAGATCAAATAGCAAAGGGAAACAAAAATGCATATCAAAAAAGAGCTCAGGTCCAAAGAGGTTAAGCCAAATTAAATTGACCGTGTTTTAATGTTGAAAAACACTAAAAGGGAAAAAACTTCAACACTTCCTACAGAAACTTGAAATCACACTGATTAATCACCTTCCCGATCTCTGTTTTCAGTTTGTACTGGTTGAGCTGGACACAGTCCTGCAGAAAGTAACAGGAGAATTCAATCATCTGAAAAGCAACAAACTGAATCATGTTAAAGGTCAGTCAGGTCAAGCCTCCTCACAGCAGCGTCTGTGATGGAAACACGCTTGGTCTCGATGGTGGGCTGCCTGGCGATGCGGCTTCCTCTCTCCTGCAGCGACAGCTTCCTGTCCGACAGTCGAGCTCTCTGGCTGCTGCCGGTCCTCGGAGGCCCCGGCCTGCAGCCGTTGGGAGGCGTCAGGCGGTTGGCGGCCACGTTCATGGCAGCCACCAGGTCCGCCAGCTCGCCGTGGTGCTCCGAGTCCAGCTCCGGCCTGAAGACGGCGTCGGTGCTCATGGTGGTCGGTGGCGGTTCACTCACAGCAGGAACGGATCAGACGACGAGTCAGAGGAGGCATCGCTGCACTGAAAGGTGTGGAGGCACAAACATGGAGAGATTTGACTCTCAGCTGACTTTGTTCTTGTGCTGAGAGACAAAAGATGCATCTATTAAACATAAAAACATGTTTTGTATGCCCTTGCTGCTCTCTGAGTTTGACTTTCTGGCATCACAGCTTGTTGAAGTAGAAGTTTTAGCAGCTTTTAGCAGCTTTAGTAGACTTGAAAAACACAGTGTTGATCTTTACACCATGCTGCATGAGTTAAAGTTAGCGGCTGGCACAAAGTCATCATGAAAATGTTTTGAACTTCAGTGCTTGATACATAATGAGTAAAGCTTTTTGTAGTTCTAGAAAGGGGCAACAAGAGGCAGCGCTGATCTGAAGACTACGACTGAAGAAAGGAGATCAATGTGAGGGTGAGGAGGTGGAAGGAAGTCAGCTCACCACCGTCCATATTTATCAAATTTCAGCCTTAAATAAAAGCAAAAAAAGACTTCTTTTGACTAAAATATGCTCCTAAAAGTCAGCGAGCTCAAAAGGTTCCCCAAGTTATTACAGAGCAGAACAAACATGACCGCAGTACAGAAACAGAGATATTAAAGCAATAATAGAAATACGCCTGGTTTTTCTGTAATAACGTAAAATGTTTGTCATTTTTAAAGCAAAATACTAATTATTTGATCACTCCTGCTCCTTAGATATGAGGATTTGATCCTTGTCCTTTCTTGAGTAAACTGATTTTTTGGACTGTTGGTTGAAGAAGAAATGTTGCTCTGTGTGAGAAACAAAATGATTAGTTGAAGAAATGATTCAGCAAATTCACTGATAAAGAAAACAACTGAGTAGGCCCTAAATGGTGATGATAATAGAATAAGAAGAAACTAGCAGGCAGCATTATGAAAAAGGAAGCAGCTTTCTTCTTACTTGCATGTTAACATTTCAGAGGATGTTACGACGCTGTCCAATCACTTTCTTCAGAACATAAAAGTAAATAAATGGCTGTCCTGGCTTGTACGATATTGCACAGATATTCCTAATAACGTATCTGTGGGAGTAAATCTGGCAATGTTTGATTTGCAGTCACTGTCTAACATTTGTCAGAAATTTGTTTTCAACTATTGCAAGGAACCGTTAGCAGCCACAGTTGAATTGTGGGTAATGTAGGCACCAGGTTGTGGCTGAGAGGAAGAATATTTGGAACAAAAAAAAGACAACATTTCTACTGTAACTGTCCAACAGTGTTATGAGAGTGTAACATTTGTGGAGTTTTCTCTTTAAAAAGTTGTTGCTAGTCAAGTGTAAGTAGTTTGTAAGACACAGAACGTGCAAAATAACAAGTAATATGAGTCCTTTAACACATTCTAAGAATTACAGATTACTCTTAAAAGCACTGAGAGGTGTTTTTACTCTTTCTAATTAGGAGCTTTACTCAGTTTGAACTGTGATGTGAAGTCTATGGACTGATAATACAGATAACGCTTCAACCTGCTCTGCAACGAGGTGCAAGAAAAACTAATTTTTAAAACCATGCATCCACCAATTATGTCAAACTAGCTTCAAAAATCCTATTTACCCTCAGCATGGGACAGAAACCATCTCACTGAACTCCAGAGCATTAATAAATTGAACATCTACCTCATGTGGATCTTTCTCACAGCACATTTTAACTTGTTGCAGGAAAAGCACCGGTGCAACCAACAACATTACTAATAGCTCTGCTCTATTCAGTGTCCTTAAAACAACCCAGTGATGCAGAATAGACAATACCAAGACCCTGCAACTCCTACAAAGGACACAACAGTCACTTATATAACAAGCCAACACCTGTAAGTCAGATATGAGCCGTAGGAAAGGTCTGCTGGGGATGCTTTGAGGAGTTATATAAAATAAACTGATTTATGCAAACTGCAGCGCTGCCTGATAGGAAATAAAAGCAGAGGAAATGAGAAGCAGATAACATTCAACCCCTGATGAGCAAGACTCACCGTTGCCTAAAATACAGCACGGAGACCTGAAAAGCTTCTTATGCAACACAGTGGAAAACCTTAGGAGGTGTGTAAATTTATAATATTACCACAGGACACTGGGCTGCAGCAGTTTGTGCAAATATTTAAAGATCCTTTGTCTTCCAACACGTAGAGCGATAAAAAACTGTGTAATAAAAATAATGAATAGGAGGTACTAGTATGCATGATAAAGCCTCAGGCTCTTCTGAATCCTCTTCAACGTGTCACAGAAATAAAATACAGCTACAATACGAGATAAATTGTTACTCACACAATGGAGCCGTCCTGCGTTGTAGTAAATCTGCAGACCCTCTTAATCTCGGCGCAGGACTTTCACTGGAGAGCAGCGAGGGACATCAGCAGTGTCCGTCTTAAGGATTAACTGAGGCTACATATAGCTGAGGCAGAGTTATTCTGAGGGCAGCCGCTGGTCATGTTGACAGGACTCACAGGACAGAGCTGGACGTCAGGGAATCCCCACAGCGGTAGTAACAGGACGTCAGCAGCACACTGCACAGAGCAACAGCATAGTACACCGTGCAGACATAAACATAGGCTTTATTTTCTAGTCACCTGATAGTGAGATAAATACAGGTAGTAATAATAAATAATCTGCTCCATGTTGGCCCAGACTGTCTATCTTTGCTTCCTGCTGAATGTGTAAACTGACTGTTCCACTCCTGAAAATGTGCAGTTAATTGCTAATAAGAGGATCAAGGAGGATTATAAGAGAAAAAACCTCAAAAATACCTTCAAAAAGAGGTCTTACTCAACTGTAAACTCTACTGTGATGAATCCTAAAACCAGTGAGGGCATCCTTTTGGCTCACTTGTGAACATTTACATCTATTTGAATGGTACACTTTGTCCCCCTTTTTCAAATATGGCAATCAAATAATCAGATAAAAGTAGTTTTGCATAAACTGGAACACCACATAAAATCTGGCTCCACAACTAGTTTGTTATTTCCAGATCCCTAAAGCGCGCTGTGCATCCTGTAGCCTGATAAATAAATGAATCAAACTGAGAACGCTGCCAGCTGACTCACTGTCAATGCTGATAAATAAAATAATGATCCTTCCAATAAGAGAACATATCAGAGCCACATTAAAATATATTTTTAGCCGACTGGGTAAAATAAAAGCAAGCAAGCTCACCACCAAATGTTTAGTGAGGATGCTTTCCAATATCTGTTCTACTTGAGGACGCCAAAAAAAAAAAGATGTCCTATGTCCCAGTACATAGTTTGTCAAATGCAACAAATACCAGGATGTTCTTCGACATCAGGTTGCATTTTGCAAGCCAGCATGCTTGTCTGACCCACAACCGTCTGCACAGCAGTTAACAATTACGTCACAGTGTCTCGATTGTGTAACAAGCTTGAGCAGCTGAGAGTGAACAAGCAGGTGGTCAAAGCTTAGGACACAACATTATGACTAAGTGGTATGTTCCAGGTGCATACATGCTGCATGCAACAGCACGTGCTTCCAATGGGCGGCTGGAGTGAATAACGAAGGTAGAAGACAAAATATGTGAAGTGTGCTGCAGGGAAACTGTCTCAGCCAGCGGGAGTTGCTACTTAAAGAATCCTACATAGAAATGTATTGGAAAATCCTGCAGCACCAAAGTTGGCGGTTTTATAAAACATGTCCCGTACCTCCTCCAGAAAAACAAACAAACTGGGCAACATTCAGCCACTTGTGTAGTTGCACAGATGAGCTGTAATCAGACCATGCACATGTGTACTAGAGGTATAACCTGCAGGAGAAAATTCTTTTTAATGGCAATTTCACTCAGCTTTTATTGGTATCTGTAATCACTTAACATACAGACTGCCCTCTGGTGTTCAATGCAAGAAAACGTACTTCTGAATCATGCAGTTTGGAATTATCAGACAGCCCTGTGAGTTTTTTCAATTATTAATCTTAATGACAGTGCTCCTCTCATTGTGTGTAAATGTTCCACTAAATCAAATTTCACTGTCACTGTTTTGAGGGAACACTGTTGCTGCATCCTGGGCAACCAACCAACAAGGTTGGTTCAAAGGTTGGTTCAAAGAAATAAAAAGGAGCCATAGAGTTTTTTCCCCCCACTTACGGCAGGATGGTTATGAGGTGCAACAGACCATTCTGACTGATGCACTCTGCACAATTCTTTGCTGATGTGGTGTCTAATGAAGAGCAAAGTTGGAAAAAGAAAGAAAACAAAAATGGCCGACCTACCTGGATTTAAGAGCCAACCAGAGAATAATTAAATTAAATTAAATTAAAGAGCAGTTGTGTCTGCTATATGGACTGTCTTTTTGGTTTGCTCTGTATTACTACAGTATCATCAAATAAAATGCTTTTTTTAAAAAAAATTAATTTATTTGATTTTTTAAAATTTATTTTAGCAAATTAAGAATCAGTCATAACACACCTCATCTGCTGATTCAGTGACCATATAATCCTAAATCGCTTTATACTCAATGTTACCTTGATTCACACCTGAAATGTTGCACAATTTGTTCATTTTTGTGGTTCCAATTACTTTCATAGAAAATAATACAGATTATTGATGCAAAATGTGATTTTAAAGAAGCACAAATAAACCACGAAAAACAGCAAATTCTTCAAATGAATTAAATCAAACTCACCTCCAGAGACGTGTCTGCTTCTTATGTTTTTTTCAGGACGGCATGTGTCGGGAAATGAGACACGCGAAACGCTCTGTAGGGGTATAATCCCCTGGTTTCCGGCGGTCCCTGAACGCAGCATGCAGAGCTCCAGCAGGACGGCTGGAGTCAAACTGAGACACGTCGGAGCGAAGAAACATCATGTCTGTGCATCTGCAGTTCAGTGTGTGCAGGACCAGAGAGCTGAGAGAGCTGCTGGAGGACGAAGACAAGATCAGTCGCATCGTCAGGTGCAGTGAGAAGGTGAGAGAGCAGAACGCTGCTGCTGCATGTTGGAAAATACAAATAACGTGTCGTGGAGCATGAAATAGTCAGATACTTGAGTAGAAGCACTAATACAGGCATGCAAAAAAAAACTTTATTACAATTAATGGTCCTGCATGTAAAACAGTTTTTAAGCTAATACGTGACTACATCAGTAGATCACCATTAATTCTGCATTAATAGGCTAAAGGTATTTATAATTTCCTATAGAGCTAAAACTCAGTATTTTTTTGTTTTCTCCATCTCACAGTAAATTAATTATAATGGAAAAATGTCAGTAATTCTGTCTGATCAAACAGTTCAAACCTTGAAATTATAAAATAAATACAAAAACCTTTATTACAACAGAAAGTTTCGGAAAAAAATCTGCTTGACTTTTTTTTTGTTTGCAAATGAACTTAAACAGCAACTAAAATAGTTGCTGGCACATTTTTTTGTGGGTTAATCCAGTAATAGTTTCAGTTGTGCTTGTTTCTGCAGCTTTTTAGTTTAATTTTAATCATCATCATCATCATATTGCTTAAGCTCTTTGTGTGTTTTGTAGATTAAAAATCTTAATTTGAGTGGTCAAATACCTGGAGTGCAGAAAAAAGTTCAGACGTAGTGGAGTAGACGTGCACATGAGAAAAGACTCAAGCACTGATTCTGCATTGTTTAAGAGTTCTTATCTCTGTGGATTCATCATTTCTTGTGGTCATTCCCAGCTCCAGAGGCTGCATCAAGCTGCAGAGAAAACGCTGGTTTCAAATCAAAAACTGGCAAAAGTGAGTCTTTCTCAAAAACCAAACTTTCGAGATGCAAAGTTGCTGCTCGCCATGAAGTACAGGGAGCTGGAAAAACTCAGAAGCATCGTTCAGGCCAAGCAAGAACAACTTGGTGAGTTTGGGAGTAAACTCTGCACTGTTTTATACCGCTGCATCACATCTGTTTAGTTGATATCCTGAAACATTTCATTTTGTAGCAGAAAAATACAGCGTTCATTACGCTCAGTGGTGCCTTCAGGAAAAGATAAATCATGCAGAAGAAGAGTTTGAGGTAAGAATCACTTCTTCTTTTAAATCAATAGAGACCTGGGATGTCTTTTGTTGAATAAAATATGCTTCAGTGCAGAAAATATTCAAATATCTTGTTGATAATAAGGAACTACCCTGTTTTTTTTGTGTTTTTCTCATATTAAATTCTAATAAATGTGGGTCATTTAGCTGCTTTGGGGTAATTTATACAGCCTCTACAAAGCTGGAGGCAAAAGAAAAAGCACATCAGCACAGTTTTTCCCACTAAGAGCAACATTTCAGGCTGGTGTTAGAGTAAAAGAGGAGCTCTGATGTGATGCAACAGCTCGTCCACTGTGTGCGTTTCCTCTCACAGCTGCTGGTTCAGAGGTTCGCAGAAGGAAAAACAGCCCTGACCGACTTCCTGAACTCGTCTCTCAGCTCTCGGAGGCTTCATTACATCCAGTCGGTGCTGCTGAAGAAGCTCCAGGAGATGATCAGACGTGAACAGGAAGCGGCTCAGAGACTCGATGTGGCTCGGCGTGTCCCAGATCAGATTCACTCGATCTGCAGTCTGACCACGGCCGTCGTGTTCCCCACCTGCTGCCACCGTCCGCTCCTGCTGCCGCTCGGCGCCCACGTGGCCCAGTGTTTCCAGCATTCACTGTTCAGCTCTGGAGACGAGGACTTCCTGCTTTCAGGAGCGAACAGACGAGGCCTCAGGTGGCCGACGAGGCCCGTCAGACTTCAGCCTCTGAAGATGCAGCAGAGGAGGCATCAACCAGCACCGCAGTGAAATAGATTCATTCAGTTATTCTTTACTTGTTCTTTGTGTTCAGACATGACTAATAAACCCTGAGAGGTGGAGAAGTTCTGGTAGAAAATTGCTTTTATCTCGTGCAGATGCAGAAGCTCAGTGGATGGAAAGATGCTGTAGATCAAATAACTCTGAGTTCACATGTTCTGCAGCTTCTTGACTTTTTAAGGTTAAATCTTACTCCCATTCTTTTGCTGAATCAGCTGATAAAGTCTCCATCATTTAACCTCATATGAGAAAAGCTCCATCATTACAGTTTCAGTTCTCTACATCTGTACTCAGGAAAGAGATTATTGTGTCTAGAAACTCAACTATGGTCCAACTTACATAAATGAGAACAGACTGGACTGTCCAGCTGTTAAATGTTTGCCATGAGGAATATTTACATTTTCATAAATTCTGAATATTTCAATGACAGGACGAGTAAATCTAATTTAATTTTAACCCAGTTATTGAACCTTTCTTTCAGCTCAGGTTGTGCAACATGTCTTGAGGAATCTTTAAACATTCGGTTTTCTGCACAGACTGTTGCTGTTCCACTCCGTCGCTGTCACGTTATGTGGAATAACATTGGAACGTGGGTTTGTAGATGTTCTACATTTACCAGAACGTCTTCCAACACCCCAAAGAGACAGATTCTGGAAGAGTTTGCATCTAGAGAGTTCTGTATTCTGAATGACATGTCAGTTAAAAACACAAAGCATCACAATTCAAACGAGAGCAACAATAACAACAGCAGCAGCAGCAGCGATAGTACGTTTTAATACAAGTGCAAACATGCAGAAACAGTAGATTCTTACCTTGTCTGTCTTCCAGTTGCCTCCTAACAGTCGACCAAACGTTCGTCGGTGAGAAGAGTCCTGATCGATCAAGATTTGATCAGTCAGGACAGTGTGGGATCATTTCAGGGGAATAAAGGACGACTTCTAGAAGGTGACATGCAAACTCTGCAGGCAGCATTTACCTCTCATTTTGTGATTTCAACAAACACATAGTGGAAAAATTAACTTTTCAAAACAGATTTCACCTGTTTTGTTAAATTACAGATGAAAACAAGTAAAATATTACTTTACATGCCGACTGTAAAAAAACAGGGAAAAACTGTTGATGACGTCAACATCGAACATATTTAGTTTTACAAGTGATAATTTGTTCTTTTACAATGTTTGACCTTAAAGCACTTAAATCAACAATAATACAATTATTTTAATAACTATTTGCCATTGTTTAAAATAATAATTGTAGTAGTAAATAATATTTAACTGTTATTTTGTAATTCAGCACAAACTATTCTTCTTTCTCAGATCTGAAACGCAAACAGTTTTTTGCACCCCCCAAAAATAGATAATTAAATTAATAGCAGAACTGTGTGACGAGACAGTTACTTGTTGAATGCTGAACACTTTTTTCATCACAAGGATCCAAAAAGCAAAATACTTCCAAGCTTTTAGAGTAAGAAAGAGCCAAGTAATAAGTAGTTGAAGACATAAAATGCACCTAAAATATAACTTCAATAAAATAAATGTCATTCACTGTAATGATGTCACCTTATCGCACTGTGTTATGTGTTGAGGAGGAATCAATGTGGAGTGCATCATCAGCAGCTGCTTCAACACATTTGTTTTTTTTCGAGGTCAGAAACTTTTATCATTTGTTGAACAAAGTTACTGAACTAAAGCCAACATCTGAACAAACTGGTGACAAGCATCTAAAGCAGCTGAGTGTGGTAAGAACACAGGAGCGTTTCCTCTGCAGTGAACTTGAACTGCTCACCGACACTCGATATCTCTGCTCATTTGTGAGCTCAGACTCCTGCCAAGGTCAGCGAAGGAGCAGCTCCTCCTTCACTCCTTTCCTTCGCATCCATCCTCACGTCTACCGGCGAGCCTCTTGATAAAACACCAACAGGACGATCTGGTGAAATTCCCCGCTTGTCCTGTATCTCTGCGTTTCGGTTCCCCTTCGACTCGCCTGAACACACACCAGGGTTAGCCAGAGTGCCATGTGGCCACGGCGAGGCTTTCCGGAGCAGTTGAACCATGGAGAAGCCTCGCTGGCACTACAGGAGATGATTAGCAAGGTGGAGCGTGTTGGCGGGCTTCTGTTACACCACAGACTTCAGTTACATCTTTGTCAGCAACCTCTTTTGTCCCGCAAGACTCAAACTGGGCAATTTTCTTGTCTGTCAGCTGATTGTTTAGTGCTTTTCACCTCATTCACATCCATGTCTCTGCATTGTTTTGTGCAGAACCTGATTATATTATAGACTCTTTAAATACACAGTAAAAAGCCACAACAAGGACAAACCCGCTTGTAAATTCTGCGATATTGGACGATGCTCTGCAGATGTGGCCGCACATATTGGTCCACAACCAGCATGAGATGTTTTTTATTGGCTCGTACCTCACAGTTAGGGGGTGTTTTATCTTCGCATTGTCGCCCTGAAAGGTCTCATGTAAAGGGGATTATACAGTATCTGTAACAGCATCCGGTAGTAGAGCAGGTATGGAGTGACACTTGAGGTTCAACGGGTACAGAAGTGGGTCAGTGTTCGTCTGATGGGCTCCTTTTGAGTCATTTCAAACTGTAATGTAAGTGTTTTTAGGTTTATTACCTTCCACTGTGTCTTGTGGATGTGGTTCTTGCTTTAACTACTGGATTCACATGCAGTAAAAATAGAAACTTTATCCATGATGAGAGCAGTTTCACTCTCTTTTGAACGCTGCGTACACACGAGAACAAACCAAAATGTCACAAAGCAGAATCTAAACATTTCTATGAATAGATCAGGACAACAAAAAAGATGCATTTAAACTTGAGAAAACTGGAATCCACCAGGCCAACCTTCCACAGATACACCACCACAGTCCAGAAGAATGAAAACATACTTACATAAGATTTTTAATATTTATTTACTTCCCTTCACTCCTACACACCTTCACACTTCACATGTTCCTT